GACTGCATCTGTTCAAACTGCTGCATAGGCGTCAACTTATAGAGTCTTTTCCGTTCTTGTTCAACAGTGGTAGTTGCAGGTAGGCGTTCTTCTCCCGATCGTGACTCTCCTCCAGGATGACTGTCCGGTGTCCTGAAAGCCTGATTCTCGATCTCTTTCTGAAGGGCCTTCACCTGCGTTTCAAAGCCACGGCGCTGATCTCGAAGTTCATCTCGCAAGTCTCGGTTCTCTTGCCTCAATGCCTCGAACAGCGTCAACATCTGCTGTTGCATGACCGCTGTAGGGTCCATGCCATATTGTACCCCTTGATGTCCCGGGTCGTGTACATGAACTGGTTCCGGTTGAGGTGACATGAAGGGTCGAGGAAACAAAGCTTCACTAGCCCTTGGTACAAGTTGGTCGCCCTGCCGAAGTGCAACTTGAAGCTCACCTTCATCCAGGTACTCGTCTTGCCTCTCTTCTCCTTCACCACCATTCGTTAAGGCCAGTTGCTCCTGCTCCACTTGCTCCTCCACGATTGGTGGTGTCCTCAAGTGACCGTGCTCTTCATGCTCTCGTCCAAGGGATTCACCAGGTCGGACTCCAGGAGAAGGTGTTCCGGTAGTCGTACTCGACTGACGTTGCGTCTTGGCCTCCTCCCTTTCCAGGAACGTCGGCCTCGTCACCGAGGGAGGAGTGTTCCCTGTTAGCAACAGGTCCTTGGACTCACCACTCTTATTTTCCCCATAGCGATGTGGAGCTTGGCTTCTCATCTCCTCCAAACCCTGCAGCTGCTCGGGGCTAAACAGGCGAACAGGTGCCAGTTCTTTTGGCTCACCAAGCGGCCCGTGAGGTTCACCTTATGGAAGATCCGCTACTGGGGCTGCCTTGGGATCTCCTTCTCCTTCGGGAGCGCGCCTCTGCTGCCGGCGCCGCTGCTGGGCATTCATGGCGGCTGGGATGCGGGGCTTTCGGGAGATCGACCTCCTCAATCCCCGTCTTACGCCTACCTTGGGCTCATAACCTGCTGGTTTCCGGCCCTCGCACCTTTTCTCGGGCCTTGAACGAAAACGGCTTTCACCGTCAAGTGTTTACATGCTCAGTGACCTTCTATTGGTACACTTCATGATTTGTGCGGCTTTGTTTACGCCTGCAAATTTAATATATATCTACTTATTTATCTCCTTAAAAGAATTCCGACAATCAGGAAAACAAGACCCAACAAATACAATTATCTCGGATCTCTATAGAATATTTGTCCTTCTTATAACCTTGGGACCTTGAGCATAAATCCTCTATGAGAATATTTTCTGGGAGTTCCGATTACTTCTCTATAAAATGAGTTGCACGACGTCCCAATGCAAAACATCTTTCCATCTACAAAATCTAAAGACATAAAAACATTTTACTTCGCATAAGTTCGAAGAGGGAGTGCTATTTTCCTGCCACCTGGCTTTGACCAGTCAGATCAGCTCTGGCTCATGTACTTTGCTGGGCCCACCTCCGAAATCACAGGCGCGTGCGGCAAAGCTTTCTGCGTGTCGCCAAGGGTGCTTCCCCATGACATAGCCAAGCTCCTGGCACCGTTGTCGTTCACGAAAGGCTTGTCGCCTGGCTGCGTCGACATGGTCACGCATAGGCTGCAAAGCTTTGGAGCATTTCACAGCCAGGGCTTTCCCCCAGAAGGAGCTTCGAGTGCAATCGCCTGAAGCCGAAGGCTTTACGAAGCCTAGCGCAAGCTCAGCTTTGAAGAGAAGATTAGGCAATTTCCTCTCTAAGACTTTCAGGACGGGAACCAACACATCCAACGTAGCTTCTGCAGTCGGCTCCCTCTCCAAAGCGCGTGCAATTGCACCACGACTTCGCTTCTTGCGCCATGCGTTTGGCTGGCACTTTGCCAGGAAGCTTACTTTCCGCTTTGCCCTGTGGCAGTCTGTGGTGGTCTTGGAGGCTCAGTCTGTGGTGGTTTGTCTTCCAGGTAGTAAGGCTTCTTTGCTGCCTGTGTTCTTCGTCGTCCATCTTTCTTTCACTACAATGTCTCGGATGAACTCTCTGTAGCCATGCGTCAACACGACATTGTCAGTGGCGCAGCCCGCCCCTCGGAAGCCGCGTTTAGCGTGTCCTGGGTGTCCTGGGTGTTCTGGCCGGGGCCGACCACGCCGAACCAAGGCGCAAACCACCAAGGCTGGTCGAAAGGTTCATTTTTGAGGGAAAAGCACAACTGCGCTCATAAGCTGCTTGAGGCGCTGCTTCCGGACGTCGATTTTGGAGTGATTGTTCGATGATGCTTGATCAACTTTTATTGTGGTTTTGCAATTATTGGAAAAACATGTCACTGCTAGCAACATGCTCAAGACGCCGTAAATACCGGTGTTTTGGTGCCAATGCAAATAATTAACCTTGTAAATATACATGTTCGATGGTGCAAATGTGCACAAGTTGCGAACACACCGTGCCGCGCGGCGACCTACATGACTCTTGTTGACCAATTGAAAAAGTCGGTGCGCCGTCTTGGAGGTGCCACATCGATGCTGAAGAGCCACAGCTCCGGATGCTTTGAAGTCAAGCTAAATGGTGGTACGACCACAAGAGAAGAACCACCCAACAAGCACATCCACAAACACACAATCACAAACACACAGCCACAAACACACAATCACAAACACAACCACAACCACAACACAGCGCACAACCACAACCACAACACACAATCATAGCACACAACCCGAGGACCCACAAGCAAAATCGATAAATACAATACTCACGACCATGGCAACATGCTCCTGACTATGGCATCAAGACATTGTTGAAATGTCATGGTGGGGATCACTTGAAGTAAAGTAATTGATTTGATTTGCTTTTATTTTTTGATATTATATTTAATATTTTAGGTAATTTTTGTAAATATTGATTAATTAGAATTTATATAGAATTGATTAAAATATATCTATAGGATATAAATATATTGTTTTATTTTGTTATATATTTGTATTAATAATATTTCTATAATTTATATATTGATTTGATTTATATTTTTGTATTTTGTTTGATATTTCAAACTATAGAAACGTACGAATTAAATCGATTTAAAATATATATGTAATAGCGGATGAAAATCGTTTTTATTAAATATGATAGACTAGTAGAAAAGGAGAATGGTTATATATTAGTAGATACCTTTTGGGGGAAGGTAATCTTCGTAAAAACGTTTCTATGATATTGGTGGTTCGTCGTAGGCGAAGAGTTGTTGGCGATATTGATGATGAAGAAGAAGGCGACGATTAAGGATAAGATCGAGAAGGGTAATTGGTTTTGGAAAATGGAGAGGAGGAAGTCGATTTGTAAGGATCGTAGGATTAATTAATATGTTTTTATTTGATGATTTTTTTTCGGAATAATTGAGGGAATTAAAAGAATTGTAAAATTCATATTTTATTTATTTATTTTGGATGGAATGTATGTTAATTAGGTATGGGTATATGATTTTCGAGGGCGATAAGAATTCGATAAAATCTTAATGTTTGTTAAGAAAATTTGAGGAATTTAGTAAATCGTTATGATAAAAAGATAATAAGATATTATATGATATAATTTATAAATCTTTATTTAAAATTATTTATGGACAATTTTTATATTAAAGATATGGTAAGTATTGGATTAATATTATGGGATGAGAATTTCTCGAATTTTTAAATAATTTCGGATTAAATAGGTTGAATTATTAGAAAATTAATGTAAAGGTTAAGGTGTTTAAATGTTAAAAGGAAAAATAATAAAATATATTATATATATCCGAAAATGGAGATATTACGAAGCACTATTTGGAATTAATTATAGGTAAATTGAAAAAAGAAATTGATTTGGAGATGGAAGGAGAATGGTTGTACGAATTGACGCTAACGTAAAAAATCGAAAAATTTTAGTTTTTTATAACTAAAAAAATTCTAGTTTTTGGGAAATGCACCGGGAAAGGTTAGGCATAGAAAGAAATATCGAGATTATTATAAGGATTACGGATGTTTTATCTTGGAGGAAAATAGATTGGTGGTATGATTATTGCTAGGACGAAAACCTATAAAGAAGATTTATAATAAGGAAATAAAAAAAATAATGATTTATTTCGGAACAGGTCGATGGTAGCATATTTTTCGTAGTCTTAAGAAACCATTACGAGGGGAAATTATGAAGGATGAAAAGGTGATGGAAATGATGGTTAGATTTGTCAAATATTTGGTGGAAAAGGAAAATAAAGAAAATGATTCTGAATACATGAAATTTAGGACGGTGAATCTTCCTATATTACCTGAGCCTTCTGACATTGCTCCGATAAATTTGATTCTGGGATAGTACTCTACCATTATATGGACATCGCTTCTGTGTGAGAATTGTTTAATGCACGTGTCAATGTGGCAATTCAAAAACGTGTTACTGCCACACATACCTGCGTATCCGCCACACCCACTAACACACTCTTGACATACTCCCGCCACACCTTCTGACACACCCTTGACATACTCCCACCCCACCTCCTGCCACATCCCGCCACGCTTTGAGACTGGTTTGTGAGACGTTGGTGCATTTTGACAATTGAAAAACATTTTTGTGTTTGACATACGTTTGATAAACACCTGGTAGATTTACTCCCAAATTTGCTTCCATAGCAGGCCACAATTCCCAGGAAGATCCAACTTTCCAAGAGTACCTTACAGGGCTAGCGTAGGCATAGGCCATTTTTGAAAACAAGAGTCGGCCTAAGTACAGTGGGCCATCTTGAAACAGATACCTGCGAGAACTTGTAGCAAGAGGAAAAAACAGATTGCGTGACACGTGTCAGCTCACTGTTCTTAAGCGTGTCAGTTGTGTTATTTCAGCGTGTCAGCTACTCAAGTGTGTTGTGTCAGTTTAGCAGTCCAAGTGTGTCAGTTGTTTTGTTTCAGCGTGTCAGCTACTCAAGTTTGCTGTGTCAGTTTAGCATTCCAAATGGGTCAGTTCAGTGTCTGAAAGAGGCCAACCCAAACAATTGTACCCACAGAAGATCATGGTAGAGAAACACCCCAAATTTGATTGATTGGCTCAGATGATTGAATCTGCAATAATTGATTTGAATGATTCGTCTGCAGAATGGTAGGAATTGGTGGTAAACGAAATAAGGAAATGATATATCCATTATATCCATCTTCGATTATTACAAAGAGCAAAATACCCCATTGAGCCATCGGCCGGACAGCCACGTTGGATCCGAATTGAAAAACGGATGATCAATATAATATTTGCATCGGTGTTGACGACAATGAAGGAGGAATTCGTGGCAACTCGTGCATTCACGCCTCTTCGTTTGATGAAGAAATTCATGATCCTCCATCAATCAGGTGGGCTATATGAATGTTCCATCATATTCCGACAATTTGAGGTGCCGATTGAAACGGGGTCTCTCAGCGAGGCTTGCTCGGCATTGCGGCGTTGGATGCGGTGGCCCCGCCGAGCTTCTAATATAGGCCTGAATCTTCCTGATTCGAGCATCCTCTTGAAGTAGGAAGGTCCTACAATAGCAATCGGAATTCATTTTCAGATATTCGTTAATAAAAAGCACGTTGCAGCTCGACCCCATTCCTATTGAGGAAATGGTGCAGACTTTTACAGATCTTTGTTGGTTGAATTAGAGCAATTGATGCACAAGGTTCGTCCTCCTTCATCCAAGCTAAATCCTACAAATTCGGGAGGGGCAATTCTTAAAAGTTGTGCAGGTCGATGACAGAAAGGGTGAAGGTGGTCCTCCAGGAGGAAG